AGAAGGCCAAGGTTGCAGTGAGACGAGATTGTACCATGGCGTTCCAGCCTGTGGGCAGAGCGACACTCTGTCTCAAAATAAATAAATAAATAAGGAGGTGTTAGTTGAAGTCTGCATCCTCAACAATGAGGCCTCCACCCCTTCCACTCAAGTGTCAGAGTCTTGGCAGCAGATTTAGACACCCCCATAGGACTACTATGAGGATTAAATGTGTTAATACCTGTAACGTGTTCAGAATCGTGCTTGGTAAATAGTAAATGCTTAATGTTATTAGTAAGCTAAACAGCTAAATAATTACAAGTGGTTGCTTCTTTAGAGCCTGAATCTGACCAGAAGAAATGATGTAGGGCACCGCTGTTTTTAACTACAAGCTTTTAGGAATATTTGGCTTTTAAAATTATGTAGGCTTATAAGAAGTTTTAAGTAAAAAGTAAAGATCTGTCCTCACTCTCCACAACATATATAAATTTTAGAACAGGCTTCAGTCACACACCTATTCTTGTGGCTGGCAGCCCCACCAAAATCATAGGAGATGTTTAGTAGGGGGAGAAGCTGCTGTTCAAATGGGAAGGGGTTTTGGTATTAACACAAAGAATCTTTGGGGGAAAGCGTACTCCATAGATGACAGTAATAGGCTATCCCTTTACAGTTAACGGTTCCCTGTTTTGTTTTTGTTTTTAACATACATACAAACATAGAAATTTTCTATTTTAGTAATAGGATCATACTGCTTGTTTTGATATCTGTATACACACACACACACACACACACACACACAGAGAGAGAGAGAGAGAGAGATAGTGTAGGCTGGTCATGGTGGTTCACGCTTGTAATCCCAGCACTTTAGGAGGCCAACGCATGAGGTCAGGAGTTTGAGACCAGCCTGGCCAACAGAGTGAAACCCCGTCTCTACCAAAAATACAAAATTAGCTGGGCATGGTGGCAGGCACCTGTAATCCAGGCTACTTGGGAGGCTGAGACAGGAGAATCACTTGAACCCTAGAGGCAGAGGTTGCAGTAAGCTGAGATCGCACCACTGCACTACAGGCTGGGTGACAGAGCGAGACTCTGTCTCCAAAAAAAAAAAAAAGATAATGAAGAGGAACTTAGAAAAATTGTTGGAAGGCTAAGTAGTCCTAGTTGAGTAATTCAAGAATACTTGTGCTGAAATGAAAGCTAAATATAAACAAGGAATGCTGTATTTATATTTTGTTATTGTTAGAGACAGGATCTCACTCTGTCACCCAGGCTGGTGTGCAGTGGTGCAATCACAGCTCACTGCAACCTCGAACTCCTTGGCTCAAGTGATTCTCCCAACTCAGCTTCCTGGGTAGCCAGGACTACAGGTGCATGCCACTGTGCCTGGCTAATTTTTTAATTTGTTGCCAGGCTGGTCTTGAACTCCTGGCCTAAAGTAATCTCCTGCCTGGCCTCCCAAAGTATTAGGATTACAGGCATTAGCCACTGTTCCCAGCCAAGGAGCATTTTAGAAAACTCCCTGGAGGCAAAATAGGTGGCCCAAGATGGTAGAAACAGTTTCTACCTAGTTTCTCTAGAAATGGCCAGTGTCCTTATCCTCTAGTATGAATAAAGTCTTAGGGCTGGAGGAGGTGGTGAAAACTGTCATAACCAGCATGTTCATTCTAGTAAGTGGAACTTTTAATAACCTTTCTAGTTTCCTGCCTTGCTTCAGAAGACAAGTGTTAACAAGCCATTCTCCTGACTTTAAGCCTACAATAAAGATTCTAGCACAGCATGTGATTTGTCCAGATAATTAAACATGCAAGCTTGCATGTTATTTGAAGGCTTATTACGACCTTCTCAGCCTTTCCATTTCTAAAATGATTTCTGTCTTTTGAGTCATTAATCCTAAGTATGCATGTGTGTGTGCATGCATGTGTATTGTGTACTGTCATTTATTCAAAGGTGTTTCTACTTAAGGTGATTAATCCAAATGCATTGAAAATGATGCTGACTAAATTAATTCTACTTAAAGATTAGTTGTTAGCCAAATGCTATGAAAATCTTGTCTAGGAACAATCTTAATCCTTTAAAATATTTAAGACTTAAAAAAAGACTAGATCAGGGGTCTCCAGCCCCCAGGCCACAGACTGGTACTGTTCCATGGCCAGTTGGAAACCAAGCTGCATAGCTGGAGGTGAGCATGGCACAAGTGAGCATTACCACCTGAGTGCCGCCTCCTGTCAGATCAGCAGGATTAGATTCTCTATAGGAGCACAAACCCTGTTGTGAACTGTGCACGCAAGGGATCTAGGTTGCACAGTCCTTATGAGAATCTAACTCCTAATGATCTGAGGTGGTACAGTTTCATCCTGAAACCATTTCCCACCCCTCTCCCCTTCCTGCCCCTGCCAACCCTAGTATGTGGAAAAATCGCTTTCCATGAAACCAGTCCCTGGTGCCAAAAAGGTTGGGGACCACTACTGTTGATCGTTTGCACAGATTGTTTGAGGACATTGGCTTCTAGATGAAACTGAACACCACCCCTCCATTCTTTGCTTACTAGAATTAGACTGTCAAAATGTGGCAGACGAAGAGGGGTGGGAATCCCTGAGGAGGAAACCTCCTTTTGAGAAGCAGATCTATGACCCTCTGTCATAGTCAAAAAGTAACAGGTCATTTTTTATAAAGAAAGTTTATTTTTTAGAGCAGTTTTAGATTCATAACAAAATTGAACAGTAGGGACAGAGATTTCCCTTATACTTCCTGCACTCACACAACATGGCCTCCCCCATTGTTAACGTCTCCCACCCGAGTGATGCATTTCTTACAGCTGATCAATCTACATGGACACATCACTACCCAGAGTCCATAGTTTACACTAGGGCTCACTGTTGGTGTTGTACAGCCTATGGATTTGGACAAATTTGTAATGCCATGTATCCACAATGACAGTATCATACAGAATAGTTTCCCCACCCTAAAAATCCTCTTGCTCTACCTGTTCTGTCCTCCCTCTCTCCTAACCCCTGGCAACCCTTGATCCTTTTACTGTCTCCATAGTTTTGCCTTTCCCAAAATGTCATATAATTGAAATCAAACAGCATGTAGCCTTTTCAGCTTGGCTTCTTTCTCTTAATATGCATTTAAGGTTCCTCCATATCTTTTCATGGCTCGATTGCCCATTTTTTGGTGCTATTTTTCCATTGTTTGGATGTACCACAATGTATTGATGCATTCACCTACTGAAGGACATCTTGGTTACTTCCAAGTTTTAACAATTATGACTAGAGCTGCTATAAAACACCATGTACAGGTTTTTGTGTGCATGTAAGTTTTCAACTCATTTGGATAAATATCAAGGCAAGCAATGACTAGATTGTATGGTGAGAGTATGTTTAGTTTTATAAGAAACTGCCAAACTATCTGCCAAAGTGGCTGTACCATTTTGCATTCCCAGCAGCAATGAATGAATGAGAGCTCCTGTTGCTCTATATTCTCACCAGCATTCCTGGTGAAATCAGTGCTCTGGATTTTGGCCATTTACGTGTGTAAATGTATATCACTAATGCTTTAATTTCCAGTTCTCTAATGACAGGATGTGGAGCATCTTTTCATATGCTTTTTTGCCATCTGTATGTTTTCTTTGGTGAGATGTCTGTTCGGGACTTTTGCTCATTTTTAATTGGGCTGTTTCATTTTCTTTTCTAGATAGGATCTCTCTCTGTGTCACACAGGCTGGAGTGCAGTGACACCATCATGGCTTACAGCAGCCTTGATCTCCTTGGCTCAAGCAGTCCTCCTACCTCAGTCTCCTGAGTAGCTGGGACTACAGGCATTTGCCATTATTCCCAGCTAATTTTTTCCTTTTTTTTTTTTTTTTTTCTTTTTTTGAGACAGGGTTAGGCTAGAGTGCAGTGGCACTGTCTCAGCTCACTGCAACCTCCGCCTAACGGTTCAAGCGATTCTCCCACCTTAGCCTCCTAAATAGCTGAGACTACAGGCATGCGCCACCATGCCCAGATAATTTTTTGTATTTTTTTGGTAGAGACAGGGTTTCACCATGTTGGCCAGGCTGCTCTAAACTCCTAATCTCAAGTGATCTACCTACCTCAGCCTCCCAAAGTGCTGGGTTAACAGGCATGAGCCACCGTGCCCAATCCAGATTTTCTTATTGTTGAGCTTTAAGAGTTCTCTGTAAATTTTGGAAAACAGTCCCTTGTCAGACTGTTTTGGGTGAATATTTTCTCCCAGTCTGTGGCTTCTCTGTGTTCTCTTGACAGCCTCTTTTGCAGAGCAGGAATTTTTAACTTCAGTAAAGTCCAGCTTATCATTTCGTTCTTTCATAGATTGTGCCTTTGGTGTTGTATCTGAAAAGTCATCACCACCCTCAAGGTCATCTAGATTTTCCATGTTATCTTCTAGGAGTTTATAATTTTGCATTTTGCATTGAAGTCTGTGATCCATTTTGAGTTAATTTACAAGTCATTTTGCTTTTGAATTTTCAGACAAAATTCATGAAAAGTAAAGGAAGTTGGAGTAGCATATTAAAACATTTGGAAAAGTATAAATAGGCTTTCTCATTTATTAAGCATATGGCCTTACACAACATTTTAAAGTCTCAGATTCTGCATTTTATAATGAGGATAATAGTACTGACCTCATACAGTTGATATGAGAACTAAGTGACGTACATGTGAAACCCTTGGGAGCTTCCTGCTTGCTGAACATGTGGAGATGCCGGAAGCGGGGCTAGCCCAGAGAATGCATGGACGCTCCACCCCCACTGGCTTGTCCTATCCATCTGTCTGTTCATCTGTGTCCTTTGTAATAACCTTTATAATAAACCAGTAAATGGTTAAAAAAAAAAAAAGCAAAAACACTGAACATCACACCTGCATGGTAAGTAGCAGTTGTTATGGATGGTTTTTGCTATCATAATGTAGATGAAGAAGATGAGGATGTCGACATAAGATGTAAGAAGAATTTTGATTTTTTTTTTTATTCCTCACTGATTGTCAATTTCCTTTTTTTGGTAGGTGGTGGACTTTGTAGCAGCAACATTGCAGAGAGCCTGTGCAAGCTTGGCCCATCAGGCAGAAAGCACCGTAGAATCACAGACACTGAGCATGTCCATGGGGCTGGTGGCTGTCATTCTGGGAGGAGCTGTTCAGGTGAGTTGTAGACATTAGCCAAGCTCAAATGGAGGGAAGGGATAAGCAAAATACCAGTTGCTTCCTTTCCATACCCTTATGAGAAATAAGAATGGATATTGTACATAGGAGAACCAGGATAAAGAAGTTAGTCTGTTAATGAGAATTCTCTCCAAAGTAGAGGACAAAAAAGTTGCACTGTTTCCACTCTGTCACCTGAATAGGCTTCACTATCAGAAGGGTAGGGTCCTTTCTACCTGTTACAATCTTAATTTGGAAACATGTAGCCTGGTGTTTTGCATCTGAGGTGGATACTAGATTTTCTGGCCCTCAGTCTCCAAAGCTCAGCCCTTGTTTCTGTTACTATTGTTGGGGAAAATCCTTAGTAGCTTGCTGGCTGCATAGGATCCATCTATTTTGAATGCTTCATTTTAGCACAGGATTTATTCTTCAACCCATATCAGGTAGTGTGTTAAAGCTTTGCTTCCAGCCACTTTTAAGTGTGTATGTCTTTTACATACCTAATTTTTTCCCCCAAAAATGTTACATACCTAATTTATAATTTTTAAATTTATTTTTTTAAACAGTACATATTGCATACTTGTGTGCCACACATACTGAGCTAGGGTGCTGGGAATACAGCAGGAGACAAGGCAGACCCCCATGAAATTTCAGTCCAGTAAGGAAGTCACACACTAAATGACTGTTCAGAAATAAACTTAGGATTGATTGAAGGGCCTCAAAAGAGAAGTGGCAGGTACCAAGAGCACGTAATATCTAACCTAGGCTGGGAAGATTTCCACTGAGGAAGTGTAAGCATAAGATAAGATTTGAAGGATGAATAGGAGTGTGGGTGTGTGTAGAGTGCAGATGAAGGAAACTCTTCCAATTAAGGGAAACATCATGCTTAGAAGCAGCAAAGAGCTTGGTATATGTGAGACACTGATAGAAGACTGGTGTCGGTGAATTATAGAGACCAAGGGGAAGAGCATACCAGTAAGGACAAAAGATAGGCAAGGGCTAGACCATGCTTGTGTGTGTGACTGGCTAATTGCATACCTAGTTAGGTTAGGAGTCTGCAGGAAAGCAGAATAGGCTTAGTATGAGTCTTATGAAATCTACCCTGAAGCCAGCCTGCTCATAACCCTTAGCAATGAGTAGGATGCCCTCTGGGAATAGATTTTTGAGTTTGAGGATTCAAGTCTGATTCTTATTCTTGATGTATTAGAATATGACTTTCACTAGCCTGTCTAAAAGGAAAAGGAGTTTTATCTGGGCCTGTTATTAGTGTGAAGCCCATTTCTTGGTAGATTTACTTAGCACTAATAATTATATATTTTCCAAGTTGTTTAAAAAAAAAAAAAGCATTTGGTTCATTTTCTAGAGCCATAGTATACCCTTGCTGTTAGAACTATCAAGGAAAGGTTGATCAATTGAATCATTTTTCTTCTCTTTTCTTTTTTTGAGCTGGATTCTTACTCTGTTGCCCAGGCTAGAATGAGGTGGCATGATCTTAACTCACTGCAGCCTCAGCTTCCCAAGTAGCTGGGATTACAGGCATGCACCACCCCACCCAGCTAATTTTTGTATTTTCAGCAGAGACAGGGTTTTGCCATGTTGGCCAGGCTGGTCTTGAACCCCTGACTTCAGGTGATCCGCCTGCCTCAGCCTCCCAAAGTGCTAGGATTACAGGCGTGAGCAACTGCACCCGGCTGGAATTATTTTTCTTAAGTTGTATTCTTACTGGATTTAGTTAGCCAAATTGATTTTAGTTTTTCTTGTTGACTATTAATTTGAATAGTGTTTTTCCATAAGGTAAGAGTGCAGTTGTGTTTTTTTTCTCGCTTCTCTGTACTTATCATTTCAAACCACATCCCAAATGAAAGATATATCACAGAAATCTCCATTTCCCTTTCTAGAAGCCCATTGTTGGAGGGCCAGCTGTGCATGTTAGTTGTGTTGTAAGAGAGACTCACCTGACCGATGTAAAGATTATGCGTTGCAGGCCCCTGCCTTTCCGTGAGCCATCCTGACTCACTGACTACATCCGGCATTCCTCTGACTTTGCAGTTAGTCAAGTGAACATAGCATGTCGCCCCTTATACCTTTGCCCTAGATCTACTACTGTTTTTCTGTTTGAATCATGGATTTGTAAGTGGCTTCTAGAATAATGCTGGATTTTCTTTCTTTGTATTAGAAAAAAATATCATGGTTCTAAATTATGTTTTCAGTCAATCTTTGTCAGGCTAACATTATACTGTTTTTTTCCAATCCTTATTAGGATTTGTTGTTTTGGCTAATGAAAAAAGAATCTAACATCATCTGAACCAACCTACCTACTTAATTTCTTTCTCTTTTCCTTTCTTTTCTCTCTTATTTATATAATCAAAGTGATTATTAGAACATTGTGTCTGGGAAGAGTAGTTAATTTGGAAAATGTGTATATTTAAGACTGGTGACAAGATCACTGTAATTCCAGGCTCAATTTTTTAAATTTCAGAGTTAGCCACCACCAGAAGTATTACATATTGGTTACTCTTCTCTGTCCCTTCAAGAAGCAATTTCTGCATGATGTTACATTGTGGGTTGGTCTCTAAAGCACGAAGCTGAGCAGACCATTCTAGACCTTCTTTAGGAAAAACCAAAATCATGTTGTTCCAGGGAGACACCTCAACCTCTGGTTAAAAGCTGGGCTCCAAATCTTCAAATCTAGATTCTGTTGGGGTGGGGGTTCGTTATTGGGAGAGAAAAGGCGCATTTCTTCTCTAAAGGGGAAGGGGTCTTTATCTTGGTCTTACTCTATACTGCTTTGGTCATGTTTTTGATCAAAGGCCATTGCTTAGACTCTTTGGCAAAAAGGTTACCATGAGCATAGACTGTGTTTTAGGTGCTGTTGACTTACATATTAGAATCATTGCAAACGCTTAGAGGCTGGGGGGTGGAAGTAGTGGTAAGCAAGCTAGAGGTCTACGGCAGAATGGAGGAAAGGGAGAGAGGGAAGAGCTGCTGAAATCTGTTGCATGCTGGTGAGGCAAATTGGTTGACTCAGTTCCTGTGCTAGAATGCTGTCCTTCCTCTTCTTCACTGAGCCTGATTTGGGTACGCTGCTTGGGAAAACTCCAATTATTTCCAGCTGTTATGTAGAGCTCCAAAGAGCCAATAATCCTTAATTACTGTTGCTTTCAAGCAGCATCATTTAGAGATGTCTTACTTTCTGCCATATTTAATAAACCTGCCACAGTAGGTACTTAATTAACAGTGTGTGAATGGATGGATAGATGGAAGGAAGAAAGGAAAGATGAATGTCTAAGGAGGCATGAATTTTGTTTTGTTTTGTTTTGTTTTGTTTTGTTTTGTTTTGTTTTGTTTGTCAAAAGGACATGGGCTTCAAAAAGTTTAAAAACACTGCCCTCACCCATAGTGAGCAACCTCCAGATCTGGGCACACCCATGGGAGTGTTGTGAATATTAGTCATGTGTTATAAGGGGCAAAGGAGAGCCATACTTCTTGTTTTCACAGGCTTTTGCTTTATTGTCCTCTAGATAACCCAGTCTTTTCTTAGCATTTCCCTAGAGTGGAGAGGCATCCTTCAACTGCTTATATATAGGTAATAAAACTGGCTACAAATGTCGTTACCTGACCGGGCATGCTGGCTCACACCTGTAATCCCAGCACTTTGGGAGGCAAAGGCAGGCAAATCACGAGGTCAAGAGATTGAGACCATCGTGGCCAACATGGTGAAACCCTGTTTCTACTAAAAATACAAAAATTAGCTGGGCATGGTGGTGTGTGCTTGTAATCCCAGCTACTCAGGAGGCTGAGGCAGGAGGATTGATTGAACCCAGGAGGCAGAGGTTGCAGTGAGCCGAGATGGCGCCACGACACTCCAGCCTGGGCAACAGAGGCAGACTCTGCCTCAAAAACAAACAAAAAAAGCCCTTACTTGCAAACCACAGTGCCTCCAGTTTTACAACTTAGAAAGTGACCTTCCAGTTAACTAAGGTGACTAGTTCCCTCTAATTCTTTCTGTTTTTGAGATTATCTATTTCTGGAATTGTCTTCATTGTGTTCATTTATACACATTGTTAAAGATTTTCAGAGCTTTTGCCAGGCACGGTGGTTCACGCCGGTAATCCCAACACTTTGGGAGGCTGAGGCAGGCAGATCACCTGAGGTCAGGAGTTCGAGACCAGCCTGACCAACATGGAGAAACCCTGTCTCTACCAAAAATACAAAATTATCCAGGTGTGGTGGCACATACCTGTAATCCCAGCTACTCGGGAGGCTGAGGCAGGAAAATTGCTTGAACACGGGAGGCAGAGGTTGCAGTGAACCGAGATCGTGCCTTTGCACCCCAGCCTAGGCAACAAGAGTGAAAAAAAAGCAAAAAAAAAAAAAATTTTTTTTCAAGATGGAGTCTTGCTTTGTTGCCCAGGCTACAGTGCAGTGGCATAATCTTGGCTCCCAGGTAAGCGATTCTCCTGCCTCAGTCTCCCGAGTAGCTAGGACTACAGGCACACGCCACCACACCCGGCTAATTTTTATATTTTTGGTAAAGATAGGGTTTCACTATGTTGACCAGGCTGGTCTTGAACTCCTGGCCTCAAGTGATTCTCCCGCCTCAACCTCCCAAAGTGCTGGGATTTACAGCCATGAGCCACCATGCCAGGCTGCTTTATATAATTTCTATAAAGTGATATATATTGAGACCAGTGGCCTGTGAAGAAGGCTTTCATTTGTTTTAAATCACTGCAAGCATTTGATCCAAATGCTTCCAAAGATCCAGAATCTTCCAGGATAACCGGCAGGCAACTACCTAGCTGATTTCATGAATTTTAGGCAAAGATTCAATCATTATATTTAAAATAAGGTTTTTATGATAATGTATTATTTTTTATGATCGTAGGCTTTACACTAGATTTTGCTCTACCTCTTTCCTACATGCATTCTGGGCCTTGAGACTAGACAGTGAGACTAGGGGAGGAATTAAGCACATTGCTCTTATGCTAAATTGGTTTATT